GCGATGTGTTTGCTGCAGTAGGAGCGGAAGATGGCCAGCTTTTCATTATAATCCACTGGAAGTTGCTGCGCTACCGTAGTCCTGGTCCGGATGGAAAAATGGCACCGTTTCATGAAACGAAAGCACCAAGACGGACCTCCTCGGAAATGTTCAATTTTCATTTCTTCTGCTAGCAAAACTGCTTTTAGTCGAATGGTGACCGTCGAAACGCTTCTCCCACTCGTTCTTTGCTCGATGATCCACCGCTCAAGTCTTTCCTCCAACTCGGGCCACCTCGCCTGTCCGCGGAAACTCAGCTGCGTCTTCTTGACCTGTCGGAGCTTGTTTTCCAGCTTCCTCCACTTGCGAATCATCGATTCATTAATCTTAAATTCTCTCGCGGCTGTTCGATTTCCATGTTCCTCCGCGTAGCTGATGGCCTTCAGTTTAAACTGTGCTTCATAAGCGTGTCTCTTTGCCATTTTCAGGGTTGTTAAAACAACGATGTTCCGCATAATGCACATACCTGTCCTTCTAGACAGGTATGTGCGATTGTCCCGGTATATACGATCAACGCCCACACTTCACCCTTTAGCGTTCTCATGGTGTTCTCTACTACGTCCTCCTTACAACACACAGGGCGCACTGCACTACAGGGCGCGCCGTACTTTTTGAAGAAAATCTAAGGCTTTTATGTGCGCCTTATAGTTGTGAAAATACGGTAATAGGCTTAACCGCAGCAATTTCCTAATGTTGTAAACCTCAACATCTGGCAATAAACCCATTCTGATTCTGATTCTGATTCTGATCCCTCAAAACTGTAAATACAAAAAAGTTGCACAAAATAGTTTCCCACCACAGGAAATTTATTTTGAGTGTCTTCATAGTTTTATTTTTGAAATACACCAATTTTTATACACTGCAGGAAAAACAAAAATAAATATTATACTGCAAATTTGCATCAAAATAAACTATTTCCAGCAGTGCAATATGAGTCCTAAGCATCCCAGAAACGACACAGAAAGTCATGAAGTCAAACATAACTTTTAAAAACACCAGTATAAGCTCATGAGGCCCTGATGGTAAAAAAAAACTACATTTCCGCGAAAATGACGTCACTTCCGGTTTCGGGCAGGTCATGGTGGACATGCCATAGTTCGCGCTGATGGACGTAGGAAGTGTTATGAACAGCTGATCGGATCGGTAAAGCGTGTTTCTGGAATATTATGTTTTTGTTCCTGCAAGCGCTTTTTATGCAGTTTTTGCAAAGCTTTATGTGGAAGGAAACCGTGACCTAGGACAAGCTGATGGCATAAAATGTAAGTACAACTCCTCCGGTTTCATATGCAAAAAATTTTTTTGCGCTAGCTTACGTGGTTGCAGTGCTACTGGGATTTGAAAATAGTTACGCAAAACAGAACGTTCCCGCTCCGATCGGCTCTAAAGGGTTAAAGGTCAGAAACTCTGCAGCCGACCTGGAGCTACAGGCTGGTTCACCTGAAGACCTCAGAGGCTGAACACACAGAGCTCTAGCTGTGCTGCGTCCTTTCAGTGCAATACCAGAGCTGGACACTAGAGGTCACCATTTGATTTTGTGTCAAAACATTAAAAACACTGATGCTGACTTGTTCCACACATGAGTGGGAGCCTCTGCTTCCAGTATATAAACATGTCAAAGAGTCTTTTAAAACGAATCTTATATACTTTACATCATTTTAAATATAATTTTTTTCTATTTATGTGACTACATGTGTATTTGATTTTTAGTTAAATTCATATAACATACATGATAAGCATGAAGTGAAAAAAACTTTTTGATAAGAAAAAGATTATTTAAAAAGTTTCAGGAACATTGTACATGTACTGTTTTGTATTTAAATGGTTGTAACCTATTACTGTAATGAACAAAACAAAGTCGCGAAGCACGGAAACAGAATAAAGGCAAAAGAATCTGAAGCATAGATGAAAAACATTTTATGAAAGTTTGACCATATTTGACCCTAAAGAAGAGGTCAGAGGTCCAGAGTAACCTGATATTTACATTCCCCATGTATCATTGGCTACATGCTGTCAGTACCAACAATGACATAGTTTTAAATAAAGGGCTCTATATAACATTATCATTACTCTGACTTTCAGGTTGATCCGTTGAACTTGGGGAGAGGTCAGAGGTCAAATGTGATATGATATTGTAAGTCTTTGTACTTTATAAATGTTGAAATTACACAGCACACTTTTAAGAATCATAATTTTTGACTTTTAAGTTTTTTTGTCAATTTCCAACCAACAACTCATAAAGTCTACCTTGAAGACCTTGGTGAATTTAAGCCAGATTTTAATGAATAGTTATAACACGATCCTGCTCTACACCCTACAGAGTTTTATCAGAATACATTCAAAACTTTTAGAGCTGTCGTGTTTATAGACAGAATGAAATGCAAATGTTGCCAAAACACTCGTCTTTGGTTTACATGTGATCGGATTCGGCATTGAACTGATGCAATATGCAATCAAGGTCAACCGTCCCTGTGTTCGTCATGCTCAGTGTTTATCTGATAAACACCAAGGAATGTGCAGCAATGAACGTTAGAAACTGATCAGACTCGAGTGTCTGGTTTCCAGTGACTCGTTAATCATTGTCTCAGTCTTCGTTTCCTGCTCAGCTCCAGTGACTTGTTTCACTTTGGGAGTAACAGATTGAATCACTGTGTCAGCGTCTAGGGTCTTTATCTGTGGTAAGTCTTTTTTTTAATTTGTTTGTTTTCGTTTTTCATTTGTTTTGAGTCAGAGAACAAACAAACAAGAACCTTAAAACAAAACACTAAAAATGTGAAAAACAAAGGGATTTTTTCTACATGTTTCTAAATAAAGTCAGACTGTTGTTTCTCTGTCAAACTGTGAGCACATACAAGATGAAACATGTCTGTCAGTTGTTAAAAACTCCCACAAAGCTCCAAATGTAGCAGCAAAAAGCTGTATTATGTTTATAACGAACTGTTCTTGGAATCGTGCAGAGACCTGCACATAAAGCAGGACTTTGTCTCATCAAGGTGACTTAAAAGAAACTCTGAGCTTTCAGTTTTAGTCATGTCCTTAAGTTACACTGATACTGAGCAAGTTAATTTTAAACTAAAAGATCATGGTCTAAGCTGATCTGTGTTCCTGTTGAGTGTTTGATGGGTCACCTCCAGCCTTGGCTGAGTCTTTGTGCTTTTCTTTAATTTATTTGCCCAAAAGAGATAAAACAGAGCTGACTGCAGCAGCAGGTTTCTCAGATTTTCTTTCTGTCAATGCCACAGGCTGGTGGTGATTGGTCTGCTGTTTACAGAGTGGGCGGAATAAACTCACATGAATAATTTCAGTTTCTTCTTTGAAAATGACTGCTTGATACAAACTCAGGAGCCCAGCTGTCTGAAACGACTGAAGATGAAGCACGTTTGTAGAATTTACTGAGATTAAAGTGTTGAACTGTGACAATCATCAGTTAACACGACTTTTCAGCTGTTTGGGGGCAGAGACAGTTTCCTCAGAAAAAAAACCTGTATGTTTGGAGGTGTTTGGTTGATTTTAAGCTTTAAGCTCAACAGGTTTATTCTGTACTCTGTCAATCAAAACGAGAGAGTTCACTTTTCTGTGTTTCAAAGGAAGATATAGCAGCAGCTACTACTGTTTACTACACTGTAAAAACCCACATGTCCTTCTCAGGACTTTTATTTATTTGGCAATTATGCTGTTGTTGTTCTTTTTATTCACATTTTTGAACTAGATGTCATCCATACTCTGCTGATTAATCACTTAATCAAATTGAGCACTTTTCAAAATTATAAAACATCTGTTGGTGTTGTTTTTAGGATTTTAAGCCTTTAAATGATAGCTTAAACATCTGATGTATTAATTATTTATTCAAACAAACTCACAAAAAATAGTTTTCCATATAATAAACAGGATGAGGATGTGACATTGGTGTCATTAGATTCTTGGGCATGTCAAAGAACAGCAACAACATTGATTTGATTGCATTATTACTTTTTGTGTAGTGTCTTTCGATACAAAAATGCCCCATTCACTTCTACTGAAACCACATTTTTTTTATTCTCTCTTGTAATACTGTTGTAGTATAAAACCATGCATCCTGTAATGTCAGCATTTTATTTTGAAGAAAAGTTGTATTTTTTGAAATTTTTACTGTATTCCCTCTGATTCAGCCATTTTGCCATTGTAGGCTAATGCATGAAATTCTTGTCTTTTTGCCACTGGTGTGACCACCAGGGAGCCCCAAGAGTGATTTCGTGTGTGTGAAACTACTTTTAAATCAACATCTGTTTCATTATTGAGCACATTTATTATGCAAACTGCACCAGCACTGAAAACTTTAACAACTAAAGATAAGGTCAACAGAATATATGTATAAATTTGAAACTGTGTAACTGATATCACAGGTAAATGGTTCTTAGCAATTTTCTACTCTGAGTACTGAAAGGGCTTAATTCACACAATGTTTTCTCTACGGATGTGCTTTCAATCTTACATGCAAATCCAACCACCAACCTTCAGATTAGCAGATGACCTGCTCTACCTCCTCCAAATCCGCAAAAACATCAACAATTCTGTGTTTTTCTGTCAATATGGTGTGCTATGTGTACATTAATGGCTGCAATATAACACAAAGTGAAAAATTTAAGGGGGTCTGAATACTTTCCATACTCACTGTATTTATATTATTTTTACTATGCAGAAATCCAGAATGCGTTCAATGAAGGACAGGCTTCTCTTGTTTTTCTATCATGATGTTATCCTTCTTCTTCTAACATGGCATTGTGGAGGTAAGTTGCAGAGTAATATTGAACAATGAACATAATGTTAATGTGGTGAAAGTTTTGGTGTATATGTTTTGGGAGTGTTGCAAGACAACTGGAAGAAAGATATTAAGAAAACACCACCTTGGAAATTGCAGCCCAAGAAAAATTACCCAAAGGAAGTGTAATTATATTATTCGTTTATTATACTTTATCCACAGGTCAGTCTCAGATGATTGGTCCAACTGACCCATTGGTTGCAATGACAGGTGATAACATCATTTTACCATGCCAGCTAGATCCAGCTAGGGATGCTGTTGACTTGACTGTGGAATGGTCTAGACGTGACCTTAAACCAAGATTTGTCCATTTAAAGCGGGACGATGCGGAGCTCGTGACTCAGAATACTTTATACTCCAGAAGAACATCACTGTCTGTCAACAAACTGAAATGTGGTGACATTTCATTGAAACTCTCCAAAGTGCAAGTGTCTGATGCAGGAATGTATAACTGCCTTGTTCCTGAAATTGGTGCAGAAACTGGGATGGAGCTTGTTGTTGGTAAGTTGACATCAATACCATTTGCTCTTAAAAAAAAAAAGAAAAACATTAAGGGATGGGATACTGACAAATAACAAAAGCTTACCTTGGATGACAAGATGGATATTCTACTGGGAAGTGAATCATCTACAGGAGCATATAAATTGAATACATTTTGGGAAAGACAGATTAGTTCTTACTTGAGCTAACATAGCTAATTGGATTGAGATTTGGACTGACCAGACGCATGGCATTGTATTGTATTGTATTGTATTGTATTGTATTGTATCTTTATACATAGTTTATTGAGTTCTCAAGAAGTGCAGTTTACTAACAGGAGAGAGGTGTGGAAGATAGTGAGGGTATTTAGAATTAGAGACATTTCATAGGGCATTAAGGCCAATGAGAGGAACATTTGGGCAGCTGGGTAAAAAACAACAAAAGAAAAAAGCATTTGACCTGAGCAGATGGACATTTAAATATGTAACAGGATTGAATCGGACAACCATAATGGATCTTTAAAAGAGCATAGTAGTATTTAACTTTTACAATTTAAGCCACTGTACCATTTCAACAAAAAGCTTAAGTATATGGCGTGACCACAGAGTAATCGAAGGTAATTGGGAAGGAATTTGGACTAACATGAACCATTGAAATAATTCAAAAATGTTTTAATTCTGAACTTTGCATTCCAAGTAACTTTTATCCTTATTTTACTCTGTAGGTTCTGTTTCTTCTGTAGTCATGGAGATATCCAAAGTCAAAAATGAAATATTCTTTAAATGCAAATCTAACGGCTGGTATCCAGAGCCTCACGTGATTTGGCTGAACAGTCAGGGAAACCAAATCACAGCTGAATCTACAAACAGTGCCAAAGGTTCTGATGGCCTCTATACTGTCAGCAGCACTGTGACTGTGAACAAGAGACAGACCTACAGTCTCACCTGCAGAGTCCAACAGAAGAACATCAACCAGACTGAAGAAGCACATATCCATGTATCAGGTAGAAAAATGAGGTATGCCTGACTCAGGGCTGGACTGGGACAAAAATTCGGCCCGGGCATTTTGACTAGAGACCGGCACACCAGGAATGGTGCCAAAAAGCCTTTGAATGAAAACAAACAATGTTGTGACAGTGATGTACAGTCTTGTTGGTATATGTATGATTTCTATACATTTTACATCAGATAAAAACTTTGGTTGTAAGATTCAGATAATTATTTGTTAAAAGTGAGACATTTTAAATGAGAATAAGAAAGAAAAGTATTTCTTTGTGCCCCCCATTCCTGTTATTTTCCCAAACTGGGACCCAGGCAAAACTTTGCTAGATCCGCCCCTGCACAGTTACCAGCTGTCAGCTACCTAAAAAAGGATCCTGGTGTTATTTGTCTCTCAGAAATAGTTCATAACTTCCCTTTAGCCTATTGATGCCACCTAAAAGGTAAACCTGTTTCTCCATCACCCGTTCAGCTCTGATGATTCAGTAAGGACATCCTGGTTTCATCTTCATGTTTCCCTCTCACCACATATCCAAACCAATATCATGACCAGCAGCTCTATGGCTGTGGCTCCAGCAAACATCAGCTGACAGTAGAAAGTAATATTAAATACATTCTATCAACAGCTGATCAAGCTTAAACATGCTGCTGTTGTTTAACGCGACATCCGCTTATTCCCTCTTTCTGGCACAAAGTGGGCGATAAACAAGAGAGACGTGAATGGTGTCAGAAAAGCCGATCAGCTGATCATTGATCAGTTTCATGATTGAGGTAGCAACAGGAGAGGGAGGGGAGAGAATGAGAGAAGAAGAGGCAGCTGTGCAGCAAAGACACAGAATAACTCCAGCTTTGTGCCTTTTTTCATTCTAGCTGAAGTACAGGACAAACTTTGTTTCTTTTCAGCTCAATACAAAACGCGTAATATTTTCTCTGAATATGAGACCATTCCGTTTTTTACGGGACGGTGGGCAACTCTACTAACTACCCTTATGAATAAAATAAAATTCACTATCAGTAACATCATAGCACCCACCCAGCTGTATAGAAACTCCGTCATGCTAGCTAGTAGCAGTACGAGTTATTGTAACTGACTGTAAAAAGTCAGCACAACGAAAATAAACTACAGCTAAACTTGGTTTATATCTGACCCAGATAGACTGCAGGTCATAACTTCTTACCTGAAGTTCAGTTCACCTGCAGCCATCTCAAGTTTCTCCTCCTCCTGCCTCACCTTTCCCTCATCCACCTGTTGGCCTCAGGGGAAGCTCCGCCATAGCCACCACCAAACAACTGAGCTATTTTTACACATCTGCCAAAATCTGGCCAATCCACCACCTCTCATTGTTTATGCCGTTACAAAAGGCAAACAAAAAAAAACTCATCGGCCCATGAAAATGAAAAATCACCATCGGCCCACCGGGCAAATGCCCGGTATGCCCGATGGCTAGTCCACCTATGGCTTGACTTTATTAGTTATTCACATTACTTCTTATTTACAGACAGTATATTCTGTGTGCTTTCTAATTTAAGGTGATTTCTACTTGGTCCAGTGTAATCCTGCTGTTCCGATTACTATCAACCTAGCTGTTTGCTTAATATTGATTGGTACAACAGTATTACTAATATGGAAATGCGGACAAAACAAAACCAGTAAGTTCTAACTTTATCATACTTTTCTGACAAACGCAGATAATCATTAAATTCATGGATGCATTAGTTTGGAACTTTAAACACGTACTGATTACTAAATTTATCCCTACCTTTGGAACCAACATAATCTATATTTTTTTAGTGTTTTAGTTTAAAATGTTTTTCTTAAAAACATAATGTATGTATCTACCTGATATTTATTAGGTTTCATTAACACTGTTTCAGTGCGAATTATTTAACTTTTTTGTGTTTATGATTTCATTTTCCCCTGCAAATGTGAAATTTTGGGGGAAAAATGTTTACTGTAGGAAGCAAGTCTGTTTTTTTTAGCTCTCAGCGATATTACTTTTGAACATTTTTTTTTTTTTTGCATTTTTATTCACACAGAAATCAGCAAACATGATGAGGATGAAAACAAACAACATCAAACAGAGAAGGAGGGAAAATTACAGAGAGAATGTGAGGAAAAGAAAAGACTTGAAGAGGAGTTGCAGATCAATGAGGAAGATTTAAAACATGTCAGACAAACCATTGAAAAAGTGATGGAGCAGAAGACATTTCTGAAGAACCAGAGAGAAAAACTCCACAAACTACTGCAGGAGGACAAGGCAGGGATGAAAGAGGTCATGAAAAAAGAGAAAGAAATCCCAATACTTGACAAAGAGAAAAAAATGAATAAGCTTGTAGATAAAAAAACTGACCTGGGAAAGAGAATAGAAGTACATGATGAACTGTTAAAGATGACAGAAGAGCTAATGGAGGGAACAGAGAACATTATAATCCAAATGACGGAAAGAAAGGGAAAGCTAGAAATAGACAAGGAACAAATTATTAAACGCTTGAGAGAGAAACAAAAACATGAAAGAGATTAAGAAGAAACTGTCAGAGAAACAAGCGAGAAACAATGAACAGGTGTGTAAGTTTTTCTTGTATATATTTCTTGCTAAAATCACACGAACAAGCTGTCGTGTTGTGTTCAGTTTACATTCCCAGTGTCTTCAGTTATAAACCTAACCTGTTTTTTGCTTTTCTTCCTCAGGAAAGGACAGAGTAACACGACAAACAAAACATGGATTTTGCTGTTTTTTTTTCTCTTGCTGTCATTTTGCAATGTGATGCCTAATGTTTCTTTATTTGTTTGCTTTAAATTTATACTATATACATTTAAACAATCAATCAATCAATCAATCAATCAAGGCTTTATTCGCCACATGCAGTGAAATGGGACCCCCCGACCATACACACACAACACAGACATCAGATGGGGATACACTTGAGAGAGAAATAAAGAAATGAAAGACATTTAGAAGAAACTGTCAGAGAAAGAAGCGAGAAACAATGAACAACTGTCCAAGAAGTTAGGATGAGTTTTTCTGGAATATATTTCTTGCTAAAATCACATGTACAAACTGCCGTGTTGTGTTCATTATACGATCCCAGTGTCTTTAGTGTCTCTCCTTTTTTTAATCAGCGAATGACAGAGTAACACAACAAATAGAACATGGGTTATTTTTGTCAGTGCTGTCATTTTGCAATGTGATGCCTGATATTTCTATATTTTTTTGCTTTAAATTTATACTATATACAGTTTAACAAGACATGCATTTTGAGTGAATTTTATCATAGAAGATTTTATTTTGTTTCTTTAGAAGAAAATAGAAGAGATTCAGAAGAAACTCACTTGATGAACATCTGTCTAAGAAGTCAGATGTTTATTTTACTTGATTTTTTTTTTCTGTGTTACAAAAAAATATATTGATGTGTTTATTATTTAAGTTGATTTCTAATAATAATTTTACTATTATTTATTCTGATGATTTAATCATCTAAACTGATCCGTGATGAAAACACATCTGTGTGTAACCATGTATTTTTATCTTGGTGGGGACCAAAATTTGGAAGTCAGCCATACTTGTTGGGACCAACAGCCCTTATGAGTACCAAAATCCTGGTCCCCACAAGTTTGAAGGCATTTTTGAGACTCAGAATGTGGTTTTAGTGACAGGGTTAGAATTGGGTTTTGGTTAACTTTAAGGTAAGGGGCTAGGGAAAGCATAATGCCAGCTAGGTGTCCCCAAAAGCTATGGATACCCAACATATATGTGTGTGTGTGTGTGGGAGGGGGGTGAGAGAGAGTCCCTAAACACAGGGACTACCTCAACATTCAGCCCTTCTGACAACTTTCTCTTCCTGCTCATATACACAGCCATTTTTGCCTGTCCTAACAAAAAATTAAACAGCTGGCATTTGTTCTTCCTAAGATGAGTAAATCTAAAAACACAAATAAAAATAGTCACCCCCACATCTACCAAAGATAGCTTTCAGAAGCGCAAACAGAGCAATGAAACAGGGTCTCCCTCTGCTCACAGAATGTACATTTGTCTTCCACAGCAGCGTCAATAACAGAAACAAAAGAATTTACAGCAACAATGCCTTGAACAATTCTCCACTGCAAGTCTGCATGCTTTTTCGTGAGGGGAGGTTTGTAAAGGGATCTCCATGCTGGTTTGATGTCAGGTGCTAAGGAGAGATGGGTCCTCCTCACTGTGTCATTGTGTGCATTCAACTTGCCTTGATTGAGAGTTTTTACCAGCAGCCTATACAAAGTTTTCCAGAGGCCCCTTCCAGGGACACCCCTGCAACATCCACATTATCCAGTAAAGGACCAAAGCAGTTCTTAAAACCAGGAAACAGTCTGATGGAAAGATAAGGATCTAAATGATTTGGAAACAGAGTGCCATCACAATAACTTGCCAAAAGTGAACACTCAATCAGAATCAGAATCAGAATACTTTATTGATCCCTGGGGGAAATTATTTTTTATTACAGTGCTCCATTATAACCAACATTAAGACAAGACAGACAATACACTAACTAAGAATAGTACAATATATACATATATATACATACATACATAAGTCACTCATAAATAAATAGCTGGAAAAGAAACGTGTAGTTGTAGCAGTAAACAGTGTGTTAAGTGGATGCGTTGTACAGGGAGCCACAGGCAGGAAAGATTTCCTGTGTCGTTCAGTGGTGCTTTTCGGTAATCTCAGTCTCTCACTGAACGTGCTCCTGTGACTGACCAGCATGTCAACTCCACCGTGACCTAGGACAAGCTGATGGCATGAGATGTAAGTACAACTCCTCCGGTTTCATATGCAAAAAAGTTATTGCGCTAGCTTACATGGTTGCAGTTCTACAGGGATTTAAAAAATAGTTACGCACAACGGAGCGTGCCTGCTCCGACCGGTCTTAAAGGGTTAACTTGTGTTCTTAAGAATTATCTTCTTGATAACACACATCCATACTTTGTAAGTTATCCCATTTCTTTTTTTCCTGCAAGGGGGTGACTTTCCCCTGTAGGCCCATCTTCTCCAGAATTGTCCTGATCACACAAAATAAATACGAGAAGAGAGGAAACCATGGCAACTACTGTATGTTAATCCCTAAATCCACAAGTTTTCACTGCAGAACACCAGAGGAACACCGTGTGGACCTCACAGGTTCTGTACAGCATGAGGGTTAATAAAACCGTACTCATGTTAATATGATGTGTAAATTAATTTATTCTTGTACCTCCATGCCTGAGTGGCCAAATTCATTACCCCAGGGAAGAGGTGATCATTATCTCCTCATTTTAATAAATTGAGCCGTTCTTTGTTCTCCACAACAATGTCACAAAAAGGTTAATTCGCAAAAATCACAATTGGCTGTATGTAACCAGCAATACATCAAAGTTTGGTGCAAGGGGCACCGAAGAAAACTATTTGCAAAAGATGTATACAGTGAATATTAAAATGTTTAAAAACTAATCTGATATACCTGACATAATTTTGAGTATAATTAGTTTATATTTATGTGGATATTGTACATGTGTAGCATTCATTTGATTTTGACTCAAATACATTTATATTTTTAATGGTAAATACCAAAAAAAAGGGTTTTTATAAGAAACAGTTTATTTAAAAACATTCAGGAACATTGTACATGTACTTTTTTGTATTTAAGTGGTTGCAACCTGTTACTGTATTGCACAAAACAAAGTCATGAAACATGTCACCAATATAAAGGCAGTAGAATTAGAATTATAGATAAAATACATTTTATGAAAGTTTGACCATATTTGACCCAAAAGAAGAGGTCAGATGTCCAGAGTAACCTGATATTTACAATCCCCATGTATCATTCCCTACATGCTGTCAGTACCAACAATGACATCGTTTTAAATAAATGGCTCTATATAACATTATCATTACTCTGACTTTCAGGTTGATCTGTTGAACTCAGGGAGAGGTCAGAGGTCAAATGTGACATGATATTTAAAATCTTTATACTTTATAAATGTTACACAGTGCACTTGTACAAGTGTACAAGTTTTAAGACTTTTTGTCAATTTTCCACCAACAAGTCATAAAGTTCACCTTGGTGGACGCAAACCAGATTTCAATGGATTGTTATAACATCATCCTGCTCTACACCCTACAGAGTTTTTAGAGCTGTTGTGTTTACAGACAGAACGTAATGCAAACACTACCAAAAACATGAGCTCCTTGTTGAAGGTAATAAGAAAGTGCTGAGCTATCTACACATGATCTGTAGTGATCTGATGCAACATGCAATCAAGGTCAACCGTCCCTGTGTTCGTCATGCTCAGTGTTTATCTGATAAACACCAAGGAATGTGCAGCAATGAACGTTAGAAACTGATCAGACTTGAGTGTCTGGTTTCCAGTGACTCGTTAATCATTGTCTCAGTTCCTGTTTCCTGCTCAGCTCCAACGATTCATTTCACTTTAACAGCAACAGTTTGGATCACTGTGTCTTTATCTGTGGTAAGTCTTTTTTTTTATTTATTTGTTTGGTTCTTTGTTGTTTTGTTTTTTGATTCAGAGAACAAACAAACAAGAACCTTATAAAAAACACTAAATATGTGGTTAAAGAAAAAAAAATGATTTTTTTTGTTGTGTTGCTGTCAAACTGTGAGCACATACAAGATGACAAATGTCTGTCAGTTGTTAAAAGCTCCCAAAAAGCTCCAAATGTAGCAGCAAAGTGTGAGAAAAGCTGTGTTTATGTTTATTAATAACTGTTCTTGGAGTCGTGCAGAGACCTGCACTGAAAGCTGGACTTTGTCTATCGAGGTGACTTAAAAGAAACTCTGAGCTTTCAGTTTTAGTTATGTACCTAAGTTACACTGATATGGAGCACATTAGTTTCAAAATAAAAGGTCATAGTCTAAGCTTATCTGTGTTTCTGGTGAGTGTTTGATGGGTCAGCTCCAGCCTTGGCTGAGCCTTTGTGCTTTTCTTTAATGCATTTGCCAAATAGAGATAAAACACAGAGCTGACTGCAGCAGCAGGTTTCTCAGATTTTCTTTCAGGCTGGTGCTGATTGCTCTGCTGTGTAGAGAGTGGGCGGAGTCAACTCACATGAATTGTTTCGGTTTCTCCTCTGAAAATGACTGCTTGATACAAACTCTTGAGAACAAAAGGCAGTTTACTCCTCCGAAAAGATCCTGAAAGTTTGGAGGTGTTTTGTTGATTTTAAGCTTTAGACTCATCAGGTTTGTTCTGCACTCTGTCAATCATAGCTAGAGGTCCCTTTTCTGCTTTCAAAGGAAAATATAGTAGGGGCTCGATGGGTGAGAGCACTAGCACAAAGACTCACAGTTCATGCTGAAAAAAAAACCAAAAACAAAACCGGTTACACTGATGATGACATATCACCCGCAATCAGTTGTGGGAGTGTGACAGTCAGGCATTAGTACAATGTCAGCAATGTTACTCTAGTCAGTGAAACACTTGAGCGTTTGGCTGCGTTATAGCTTGCAACATGGATTTTTGCCAGAAATCTTCTTTTTTAAAATCTAGAGTCTTTTAGTCTTTTTCTCATCCATACTCTGCTTATGCATTTTGCACCATTTCGATACCTCTGTGTACAAAAATTAGAGAGTTTGCAATTTGAAAAAAAAATCCATATCTTCTATCAGCATTAAATAGACAGTAAGTCTATTAATTGCAGACAGGACAATAGAAACCATGACCTATGCACAGACACAGCTTATTGGAAGAGGACCTCATGGATATTCTGAACTCTGTATTACTTGTGTCTCTTGTCTCTCTACTTTCATCGCTCTATTAATTTGATCTCTTTAGCGGTTACTAGTAAGAGTAGATGTGGCAACCAGAAAATGTGAAAGAGGCACAATACAACAGCCAATGTTTTATCACTGTTTATCAACAAAAACATACTTTTGTGCAAATTTTCACAGACCTTTGATTTAATAAAAATTTTGTTATTTTGCTTGTAGTATAATGACTTCGTAAAGATGAGTAACTGGGCTGTGTCCAGATGACATGTTTGCTCTCATCAAGAGCTAAGAAGAAAATGTCCACAATTCCCAGCTTGTCTTTCAATTGAATGTCCAGATTTCCTGCAATGTTGTTGATCTCTCTTGTTACTGTTACTCCTGGAAAGGAGCACATTTCCAAATGATTAAAAATAAATTTAACATAATTAAATACTTTTTTCAAATGTGATATTACCGTGACACTCTACAAATCACTCTTTCACTGTTTCATTTTTTTCTATCGGAGAATGGCTTAATATAAAAATGTGTGTGTTTACTATGCCCCCCTCCCCCCTTTTTTTGTTGCAGACATCTAGAATGAGTCCTATAAAGAATAAACATCTCTTGGTTTTGCATCATGTTGTTGTCGTCCTCCTTTTTCTAACACAAACTTGTGGTGGTAAGTTGCACACAAACATTTATAAAATCCACAATTTAAAGTTTTTACCTGTAGTCTTTCACAGATGATGGAAACACACACTGTAACAGCACCAGTTTATGTTGATGTTGTTAAATAAATCAATTACACAGTTTGCTCAGACTGATCTTCACAATTACTAAACTGCTGAACTGTATGTGTCCCTAAATTTTGTTAGGTCAGCATCAGATGATTGGTCCAACTCAGCCAGTAGTGGCCATGATTGGTGATGACATCATGTTGCCATGCCACCTGGAACCTGCTGTGGATGCTGTTGACCTGACTGTGGATTGGTCCAGAACTGACCTCAAACCTAGATCTGTCTATGTGAGGCGAGAGGGTGTGGAGCTTCTGACTGAGCAGAATCCTTTGTACACAGGAAGAACATCACTCTCTGTCAACAAACTGCAGTGTGGAGACGTTTCATTAAAACTCTCCACAGTGCAACTCTCTGATGCAGGAACATACAAATGCCTTGTACCTAAATTTAATGCAGAAAGTGTGGTGACACTTGCTGTGGGTAAGTTTCATTAAATTTAGATTAATTTCTTTACTTTGCAATTTAGATGTGAAGAAAGACTTTAAGCAATATAGATATTGAGGGTCAAAGGGCACTCAGAATGACAAGACGGATAAAGGAACACTCGGGTCAGCTCCAGTAGAAAGTGGATCATTCACAGAGGCATATGAGTTGAGAATAAAAGTGCATTTATTCTGGGTAACCATAATAGCTCTTACTTGGGCTAGAAAATACTTCCTGGACAGATATGTGGACTGAGCATATTGACATGAACATGACAAGGGAATGACTACAGAGTCATTGGCATTCTGGTTTGCTGGCCATTAGGGCACACAACCTAACCAGTGTAGCACATGGAGCAGCTGGGTTATTAAGCAGTACAACTGGACAAATAAGAGAGATAATAACAAAAAAAAAAAAGTACTTAGAATCACAGGGGATTTGTGCACCCACTAAATGGGCTTTTTGCCGACTGAGGGGTATCTGGCCCCATGAGAAAAACACTTTTGGCCCTTTTACCAAGATGAACCAGAGGAAAGCTGATTTGACAAAGAACTACTTGGATAGGTACAAGTTAATTTCAGCCTATATACAGGAACTTTGAAAAGAGAAAATGGAATAAATAAGAAAGATTATTAGAATTTTGACCAGTTAGATTGGCACAGTTGATGTCACATAGCATCGTGCGTCTCTATAAGCTTAAAAGGACAATTTGAGTTAAGGTCAATAAGAGACACATTTGGGCGAACTGTAACTATTTTAAGAATTTTTTTTTAGATATATATTTTGGCAACTACATTTCAATATTTTGTCTGTCATTCTTTTCTTTGCAGGTTCAGTTTCCTCACCAGTCATAGAACTCACCAATGTCAAAAATGAAATGGTGTTAGAGTGTAAATCTAATGGCTGGTATCCAGAGCCTCAGATGTTGTGGGTGTACAGTGAGGGAAAACCCATTTCTGTTGAACCTACAAAGATTGTCAGAGGTTCTGATGGCCTCTATGCTGTCAGCAGTAAAGTGACTGTGGAGAAAGGACAGAGCTACAGCTTCACCTGCAAAGTTCAACAGAAGAATATCAGTCAAATCAAAGAGACACACATCCATGTTTCAGGTAGAAATGCCTTTTTTTTATATCACTCACATTAATTTTCAGTTACAGAAAGTAGAATCTAGAACATTTTGTCTCCTTATATTCACAGGTGATCTCTTCATGGTTCAGTCTAATACTGCTGTTCACATTATCATCAACTTGGCTGTCTGTTTAATAAGCGTCGGGACAGTAATATTCCTAATATGGAAATGTGGACAAAAGAAAACCAGTAAGTTCAAACTTCATAGCACTTTTTACCCCAACCTCAAATTATCATCAGACCTTTTTAATGTCTTGTTTTAGTGTAACTGCCTTTAAAATTAAGGGCTAAGAAGTACAAACGTGATTCAAATAAAAATGACACAAAGACATAAACAGTTATGTTAAAGACGCTCGAGGGAAAACAGTGGATGGAAACTGCAGAAATTACAGCGATTTACTAGCAAAATTGGAGGCTCTCAGCAACTTTACTTTTATAAAGGAATATAACCCTGTGTCCTGTGTTGTAAAGAGATGTGTTAAGACATGCAGAGTTGGTCCCATCAGTGCAGACTGACTGAGATTGATTGCAATATCTTGACTCTCTGTCTGCATTTATGAACTAAGTGTCAATTATTGGCAAGTGGTTGCCCGTCTGTCGGAGAGTAACTAGACTTAGTTTAAGTCACGCTGTGATTATTTGTTGGCAGTTTGCATCCCATTAGCAACCTGTGCAATTGCCTTGTGATCAGAAGTGGAGTATAGACCACCATCAAACTATAGAAAATCAACTGGTTGCCACAACCACCTGCTGAATGTGTAGAAATTCCATACGAGGAAGTTGCCTTCCTATTGCCTTCCTATTGTTTTCCTCTAGTGTGACTGAGACATTTTGGGGGCAAAGGTAAAAAAATTTGAGGACATCACCGACTGTAAAATTCTAGTTATAGCAACAATATAAATGAAAACTTTTCGTGCTTCATCCTTGTTGTAGGAATTGTGACCAAAATGTCACATTCTCACTCGTTTACTCATATAAACAAAGCACTGAAAGAAAATTAAACGTGAAAATTAGATATGCATGTGTGTGATTTTGAATAAAATTGGCCAAACCTCTCTGATTCACATGTAGCAGTTTCAGTACATCTAATGTTATTTTAAATATCCTTCATTTGTGATTTCTGAACATCTATTTTCACTGAATTTTGAAATACATCTGAAAGTCAGTCCTTCTCTAAAGAAGACTTTTGTTCTAGACTCTACGTTGTTGTAGGGTAGTAACCATAGTGTCTCTATAGTAATGCTTCAAATGTTTAATGTTTATTTCCATTTATATTTGATTACTGGTATAGTAAATTAATACTGTCAACACATGTGAACACATAAAAATGACTAATATGTTGTCCCTATTTTCCAAATAATTTTTTCCTGCAATTTTATTCACACAGAAATCAGCAAACATGATGAGGATGAAAATGAACAACATCAAACAGAGATGGAGGAGGAAAAATTACAGAGAGAATGTGAGGAAAAGAAAAGACTTGAAGAGGAGTTGCAGAACAAGGAGGAAGACTTAAAACATGTCAGACAAACCATTGAAAAAGTGATGGAGCAGAAGACATTTCTGAAGAACCAGAGAGAAAAACTCCACAAACTACTGCAGGAGGACAAGGCAGAGATGAAAGAGGTCATGAAAAAAGAGAAAGAAACTCCAATAACTGACAAAGAGAAAAGAATGCAGAAGCGTGGAGATAAAAAAACTGACCTGGGAAAGAGAACAGAAGTACACGAAGAACTGTTAAAGATGACAGAAGAGCTAATGGAGGGAACAGAGAACATTATAATCCAAATGACGGAAAGAAAGGGAAAGCTAGAAAAAGACAAGGAACAAATTATTAAACACTTGAGAGAGAAACAAAAAAATGAAAAAGATTTAGAAGAAACTGTCAGAGAAACAAGCGAGAAACAATGAACAGGTGTGTAAGTTTTTCTTTAATATATTTCTCTTAAGATATTTCTTGCTAAAGTCACACGTACAAACTGTCGTGTTGTGTGTTCAGTTGTGAACCTAAAACGTTTTTTTGCTTTTCTTCCTCAGTGCAGGACAGAGTAACACGACAAATAAAACATGGATTTTGCTGGGTTTTTTTCTCTTGCTGTCATTTTGCAATGTGATGCCTAATGTTTCTTTATTTGTTTGCTTTAAATTTATACTATATACGTTTAAACAAGAAATGCAGTTTGACTGTATTTTATCATAGGAGATTTTGTTATGATAAAATGTATAAACATTTTTGTGATCCTTTAAATCTTTTGAAAGTAAGAATTACACAGTGAAAACAAGAAGAAAATATGCTCTCTGTATTGTCATGAGACCTGCGGTAGAATGAGATTGAAGTCCCCCCTGGCCGCCTCCACATCACAGCTAAGAGATATTGAAGGTCTTAATAGTAAGACTTATGTGAGTAAAAGTGATCAAAGTTCTAAAGCAGAGCTTTCATCTATTTCCTAATAATTAAACATGTTATTCTTAATCAAGATAAATAAAATACAAATGTAATTAATATACTAATCACAAACATAGTTTGAGTAATTGAAATAACTGTTTTAATGTCTGAGTTTTGTGGTGAAATGTGTGAGTGCTCATGAGCAGCTTCAACCGTGGCAGTTTTGTTTCTAATAACAGGCCTCACCAAGAGTCTGACCTTGGGGTGTGTGTGTGTGTGTGTGGGGGGGGGGGGGGGGGGGGGGGTGCAGGATGGGGGTGAAAGAGACACACTGGAACCACTAATCTCAGAAAAGTGTCTGACTACAAAAATGTATGATTTAATAAAAGAGGGGTTTTTTAAAATAAATTAAAAAACTGTTAATTAGCAGAGTTTAAAAAGGTGAAAGAAAGTATTCCTCTGTATTTTAATTGAAAAGAGATTATGTTACAATGAATCTACATGTGAAAATGTGCTAAAAACAAATTCTGCATGTTAAGAATAACAAAGGAAACGTAATAAATTGAAGTTAAGTTTTAAAAGTACAAACTTTGTGTTAAATCATGTAGGTCAGACATACAGAGAGACATAGAGAGACAGATAAGGTGTGGGTGGACATCAGATGATTAAATGTCAACAATTTGACTGGATGTCCAAAATGTGAAGATGTGATGCCCAGCAGGATAGGATGGATGGGTTTAAAGACCACAGAGACCCGGTGTTTAGAAAAAATGCATCTCAGCTGTTCCGATACTACTGACTACAGGTTTTCGCTTGGGCAGTGGTTGTTCTTCTCTCCTGGATCGGCTGGAGCTTTCTTTAGGTGCCTTTCCAGCTTTGACAAAAGTCCAGCTGGGGTAACCACATTTACTCAGGGCCTTCTTGATGTGCTGGTCTTCTGCTTCCCTGGCCACTGTGTCAGTGGGGATGGTGTTCACTCTGTGTTGTAACGTCCTAATGACGCCCAGTTTATGCTCCAGTGGATTATGAGAAACCTTAAATACTGCTCCATATGCTTTGATTTACGGTAAACATCAGCTTTTAGATGTCCCCCATTACTGATGGAAATCCAGCCATCTAAGAAGGCTAACCTGCCACTTTTCATATCCTCCCTGGTGAATTTGATGTGTTGGTCCACCAAGTTAATGTGATCCGTGAATTGTGGTACGTCCTGACATTTCATCACTCATCAAAAAAGTCATATGGATGAGTAATGAAACATTTCTCCCACTGAAAATGCCATGTCCAGATGAACAGAATCAACTATCAGAGTTTTGCTCACATCATTTTTTTCTCCACATTTACTGTGTCTTTATTTATTTTACACTCAAGCATACATTACTAATAATGCAAGCACATCATATAATTATGTCAGCAGTTTCTTCCGAACATCACTAAAATATTAAAGATTGTGGTAATACTCTGAAGGAATTACAATTGCTGTAATATCATATATTTGCCTGTTTTTTTTAATAATTTGAAAAAAAATGTTTTATTTTCGCAAGTGTATAAATATCTGAAGCTTTATGGAGACGAATTGATGTGGTTATTCAGCATGTAATTAAAGATTATTTTCACTTTTGAAATCCAAAGTAAAAATAATATTTTCACAGAAGAACTCATAACTGCATCAATAAATAAATAAATGCTAGAACTGATTTATGGTGTAATATGTCCAGTGACATCCTTATTGTCTGAGAAAAGCAATTAATTTTAGGAACACAGTAAACAAAATAAACAAACAAACAAACAAAAAATAAAACATATTCATTTACATTGGAGAGGCCAAACAGCCACTTCATAAACACATGGCACAACATAGAAGAGCCACCTACACAGGACAAGACTCAGCAGTCCATCTGCATATAAAGGACAAAGGTCACTCTTTCGAGGATGCCAATGTTCACATTTTGGACAGAGAGGACAGATGGTTTGAAAGAGGAGTGAAAGAAGCCATCTATGTCCACTGTGAACGACCATCTTTGAACAGAGGCGGGGGTTTACGACACCAACTGTCTGCCATCTATAATCCAGTTTTGAGATCCCTTCCAAGATGCCTTAACGCCCACTCACACCCTGGGCCATCTGACCTCAGGAAATCACATGATAGGGTGGGATTAGTTTTTACAATGAGCTCACCCGAAACTCTGGCTGATTGTGACCTACACCCGTTTTCACACTTTGGCTCGTGTGATTAGGTAGAGGATCATTAGGGGGTCCTTTGTCCCTCCTGGAGGGTTACTCCCACAGGGCTTAAATCTGGGACTCCCCACCATTTGACCCTAGAACTGAAGAAGCTTCCCGGATGAGAGGTGAAACGTCTTCAAGCAACTTGAAGAAGTCCAGACACCTATCTTTCCAAGCTCCTTAGACTAAGATGTTCTAGCTTTATGGAGAGCTTTTTTTTAAAGCAGCAAACTATTTCTCCAGACTAAATGAAGATCTTCTAAATTTGTGACATGCCATTTCCTCTCCAGCTTATGAGTCATCTGCTTTAGGCTACGTGTTTGAGAATTATACCACGGAGTCAGGTACTTCTGATTAGAGACCTTAGTTTTCACAGGAGCTACAGTATCCAGAGTCGTACGTAGTGAGGAGGTAAAATTATTAACAAGATAATAGACCTCTGTTGTAGTATTCCAACACGTTCTCACTCCCAACTCGTCAAACGTGTGACGCATGGTCAGGCTCCCTCTGCTGCACTTATAGATGCGCAGGGTACCCCCCTCGCGTCGGAAATTGACGTGAAGGGTCCTCCGATTGAAGAGATTGCCGCGGAAGTGCCTGTTGTCGGTATATTTAGACATTTTCCAAATCACATTTTAGTGACGTATACAGAACACAATAAATTATATAATGTAAACAACTACCTGAAAAACAGGTAGAACGATACTTTTGTATCGTTTATTGCATTTATGGAGGGAGTGATGTATGCTGGGTAATGGCACAGCTAGCTACTGGGTGACTTTATTCACCCGCTTCGGCTGTTATCAGTCCATACAATGGGCGTTATTAGCACAAACCAGTCCCATAGATATGGGCCATCTCCTGCTAGATTGTTCAGAAGGTTGTTCTCATCCATCCAGATGGAGGATCACTAACAGGAGCGTGGAAGACTCCAGAATCCACTCTGGCTGCAATCCGGTGGATATGCAGTGTGTACAGGTAAGACCATTTAAACGGACAGCATTTATAGAATGACTATTAAAAGTCAGCGAGTGTCAGTAATGTTAATGTGGTTATGTTAGTAATACACAGAGTGCTAATATAACAGCTTTAAGATGCATTTGTAGATATTATTACGTGGTGCTAGCCGTCTTTATGGTGCTAGCTTAAAGTTACGGTGTAAACGTTAGCTTATATTGGAGTAAAGCTGTTACTGGTTAAACGATGTTAGCACAGAAATATTAGCTTCTGTCATGACTGATGAAGTTACTAGTTAATAAAGTTTCCAGTAAAGTGTTTAATCGCAGCCACAGACTGACAGCAAATATCTCGATTAGCTTCAGTGCATCTCTAATAATTATGTGCAAGTTTCAGTGCTTCGTTTAAACTGTATGATACTTATACTGACCCAGGGTCAGTGTAAAATACAATCCTAGCTGTGTGAACAAAGCCTGGCTCCTTTAATCCTGCATGACAAACCTCAGGATGCAGGTTATTATTACTCTTTCCTGCTGGCACACCTGTCACACCTGAGAGTCAGCTAGAAACGTACAGTGACGTGGACATCATGCAAAGACTGCCAGACTCTGTAATACTGCAAATGATCAGTGACTCAGGTTATCACTAAACTTTAAACGGCACCTCTGTGTCTCTGTGTGCTGAACATCTAGGATTGAGTCAGGCTGCATTGACTGTGGGACTTTAATGTGTTAAAAGCAGGTTGAAGACGGCTCAGAAACATTTGAAGATTAAAATTTAGCATTATGGCTGCTGGTGGTTTGTAATATCTACTCAGCTGTAGTTTGTTACTAATTTATGTTTGTTGTTGTTTAACACAGATTTCAGAAGAGCAAAGATGCTTAATAGTTTAACTAGATTTCATTTGTCAGTGTGGGACTGCTGAGTCACCTGAAGAACTCATTTCATTCATTCTCCACATGATGTTCATTTACAGAAATGTTTCACAGGAACTGATTCCTCCCAAAGGTTGAACTAGTGTGTTTCCATAGATTACCTCTGTATGAATGTACTTCTTAAATGAAGGCAAGTGTTTGTCCTTTTTTTTCCCTCAGGTACAGTACGTGATATCAAGGACAGGCGGTCAACACTGGGGGAAGACAAGAAGCAGACGTACTTCCAAGAGGGAGCTGCAGTGAGGTCAGAGTTCAGAATCTGAAACAGCTCAGGTTTATATTTTAGAGGTTATAAAAAATCAAAATGTATTTATGAAGAAACCTTTAAATAATAGTCATAATTATGATTATTATAACAAATATCAAACATTTAAGTGGATGTTCTGTTACACATATCGTGTTAGCCCTGCAATAAACTGGCAGCCTGTCTTTGTCCTGTATCAGCTGGGATAGGCTTCATCCTCCCGCAACCCTGAATTGGATACATTGTATTCCAATTATGTAATCTGATCATTTACAAACTCAAGGTATCTAATCAAAATGTAAGT